ATTCACTTATTTATTTATGCTCTCAATTTTCAACATTAATAACCAACTGATTTACGCTTCTATTGCTCAGAATTGATTCCTGCCTTGTACCCAAGACACTTTATTTTTGGTTTCTAACAAACCTTCTACAAATCCTTGTGGATTTGATCTAATTCTCATTTTGATACAACTGAACTATTTTATGTAGATCACATTTTCCATCCTTGTCAATCCATGAACATTCTCCCAGTTGTAAAGATCAATATCCATCGGCAGATGTTCAGTTTCGTTCCCGGTGAGTCCTGCTGACTGATGTATGTTTTGCTGTCGCAGACTCAATTTTCATATATGTGCAAATAAACAGACAAAAGGAAAGAAAATAGCATAAACTGATTTGCTCTTCCTGCTACCTTGAATTGGATTTCTTCCACTTACTCCAGTGATGTTTATCATTGCAGGCGGGAACGCTTGTCATGGAGTGGAAACATTATTACATGAACAGTTACGCAGTTGCATGTGTCGGAGCTGCTCTCTGGGGAGCTCCCCCACATGAATCCAAACAGCATGCTGAAGACTCAGCAGGGGGGCGCCGTCCACGCCTCCAGGGTACATAGAAGAGAAGTCAGCAGTGGTGTCGCTGAGATGAGGAGTATATATATATATATATATATATATAATGCATGATGCATGAGATGCCATTGAAAGTATGATTGATAAAAAACCTGAACAAAAAAAGGACGGGGAGAGGGAATAGGAGAAAAAAAATCAGTCAGTGGCAGTATAGTAGGATGGAAAATCTAGATTTGTAATCATTCATATTATTTGACTGCAGCCATAAGTGGTGTTGTTGTTTAGTTTTTTTCTGTTTCCTTACAGGCACCTACTTTACATTTTTTCTGCCAGAAAGCGTCAGAGGTACGGTTTGTAGCCACAGCAGCTAAATGGGTGTGCTGTTTGACAGACGAGCCAAAGAGAGAGGATATCTCCAGGGACACGCTACGCTGGGTGTGCGTAGCCAATGTGAGAGGCCAGATCTAAAGGGGGAAGCTCAGCGATGAATCACACAGTCAGAGTGGATGTAGCAAATCAAATCTCAGTGTTTCAGGGGATGTAAGGGGGGAATGTTGTAGATTAGATGGCGATCCCATTCCTTTTCCCACAACCCCTCAGATTGACTGATATTTAAATATGCATACTGACCATTCTTCCTAATGATTTGCTGCTCAGTTACTAGTTGCATTTAGATATTCAGAAACTACTTAGTAACTGGTCATTAATTAGAAATTAGTTCCTGATTTGTTCTTTTCTTGTTGAAGTTATTCAGGAGTTTTTGTAACTTATTGCAAATGTTACCAATGAGAAAGTTAATGCTGAAGTTTAAGTTATAGGTTAAAACAACTTTTTGGTTATTTGTAAATGATGTGAGTTCAGGGCTGAACTGTAGTTGCAGAAGTTCAAGGTAAATGTACAGTAGATACTTTTCTTCACACCTCCACTTATTCACTACCGGAAATGATATATTAAGCGCTCTCTTCAGACCAGAGGGAAATACAGCAACAGTGTTAGAACTTGTTTCCTCATACACATATCTCCAGTGCGCTCTGCTTTCTCTGAGGTGCAGTGGCCTGTAACTGACAAATCTTCAAAATAGAGATGAGTAAACTTGCAAACTGATGCACAGATGGAACAGATACATCCAGCAAAGAGGGGATGTCTTTAAGGAAGATGGGAGCAAGTGTAACTTTAAGTCCTTATTGCTGAAAGATGTAAAAACCAAATGACCAGATTTATCACTGGATTGATTGACGATTTGATCAATAAATACAAATAACCATTAGCATCATTGAAGCTATTAGAGAATTTACTTGAAACGTATGAAGGACAGTTCAGTAATAGTCTGTATATTTCACTTTTGTTTTTCAATTTCATGCCCAAGCAGTCAACCCATGTTGCAGGGTATATTGCACCATTCAGTCTGTGTAAGATTTATAGGAGCAATATAACCACTAACTCCTACTTAATGTCACCAGTCCCTCCTCTGTCTCCACTCGGTGTCATTCAACTCACTTTCATATCTCGGTTTTATGTGTCTCTGTATGAGATGAGGCTTTTCGAAAAGTGATAGTTATATATTTGTGATATATTTCCAATTATATAATATAATTATGTAGCGATTTTTGTGGTATTTTCTTAAGCGAAAATCTTTTAAAGTTTACACATTGAGACTGCAAACATTACCTTTAGGGTTTGCAACAGTCAGTCAGGTTGTTTGCTGTCTAAAAATGTAATACGGGGTTCAGGTCATTAACCGATTTGAAAATGATTGACGGCTGAACAATGAATCGAAATATTATCGAAATCGCAATATGGACAAGTGCAATGTTCAAATCGCAGGAGCTGCAATTTGTTTCTTATAAAAGTGAAATGTGACTAAACAGAGATGCTCCAGGCCACAAATCATATTCACCACATGGAAAGGAACGTGATTGTTTGGTACAAGCCCCAGCAAAAATCACATCAAGAAGAGAAAATAAAATGCAAAAAAGACTTTCCAACTGAAATCGCGACTCATATCGCCATCACAGAATCTACCAAATTGATCAAAATGTGTTTTATTGTAATATATTGTTGTAATATATTGTAATATATGGTGGATCCACTGCAGAGGTTTTCAAACTGCAAGGCAAAGGTACAGTGTGAGGTGAAAAGTGCAGGTGCGTACAGGTGTTCTAAAAACAACGAGAAGTAAAGGATTGTAGTTTGGCCTGCTGATATCTCTGGCTTACCACCAGTCTAACAGCAGCAGCTGGGACACGCAGCTCATGGAATCAATTAAGGTACTTTAAGACCCTCAGTGCCGTGTTGCAGCAATTTGCGTCAAAAGCATTTTCCTCTGAGTCATAACTCAGTCAAATCTGGATATGTGTGTCTCACACTTCCAGAGGATATCGTTAGCACTTCGTTCATCACGAATAACTGGCCTTAAATCTGCTTAGAAATTGTAGTTTTCTTTAATATCACATTAATCCAGTGAAAATCATTTGCCTTTGATACATTGCAAAGGAGAACTTCTAATAGCTAATTCAGTGAACTTTTAATGGTGCTAGTTTTCCCAAATGTGAATGTGAATAAACAAATACAGGCAAAAAAACAGGTGTAAAACAGTTACATTCAAACGTTCAAATGTTCACGTTTGTTCATATTCTCTTACCAACGCAACAGTTTCTCTCCCTGCTGTCCACAGGAATAAAACATTAGTCTACCACTAAATATACGATCATATACATATTCACATACATACATAAATATCATAAATAAAACAAGGGGCAGTAATTGCCTGTGATGTAATCAGCAGTACTGAAGCACACACTCTGCAATCAAATGCCCATAACTGCACAATAAAGAAGTCTACACCTTCATGTTCTTATAACAAACTAAATAAATCCTTTATCAGTCAGAATAGATTTACATCCATATTTACATCTATATCTATATAAATCTATATATGACTGAAAATCTCTTGAGCTGTGTCTTAAAAGAAATCTTATTCAGGGATTTTCAGATAAATTATGGTAAATTATTCCAGTTAACGGCTGTCCTTAACAGCTACCTGTCACTGTCTATTTCTTTAGTAATGCTTACTGCATGTAAAGGTTATTCCTCAGAAAACACAGTTTTGCTGTTTAATGACATATTTCTCAGAAGAAGGCTAGAAAACTACACGTCAGCCTCTCCGCCACCCTCAGCCAGGACAGACCAGTGTTCATCCTGTCAACTTCCTGTCTGTACGAATGGTCCAGGACCAGACATGCCACTCAGACGTGCACGATCTAAAGCTTGTGCGGATCTTTTTTTTTCTTTTTTTTTTTGCTGCACTGCATCACATCACAGTAGCCGACATGTGTCAGAACCAAGCATTGTACAGGCAGTTTAATGTTTTGAAGTTATGTCAGAATGTAAATAAAAAAGATATGATGTAAAATGATTTACTCTAGTTCTGTGGATTACAGCATTTCAGTGAATATTTCTAGGCTTAATAGACATTATGCATTCATGAGCTTGGGTCCCTGTGGCACACTAATTTTCAGTTTCGGGTCCTTAGTTAAAAAAGAAAAGAAAAAAAAGAATCCCTTTCTATCAGCCACATTGGTGTAAACTGCTCGGTGTCTATGTGTTTTTGTGTATTAAAAGCTAAAAATCACATAATCCTCTAGTTCTGTAGCAAGATTTAAATCATCCAACATCTTATGACAGTGAAAGGAAAGTGTTTTATCTCAGAGAAATGTTGCCGCAAACCTACAGAAATATTCAAAGGGAACGTAAACGTATCGGGAGTGTATGCAACTCTTTTGCAATGGAATGTAAAACTGCTGCAAATCCTATTTCTAAGTGTTGAAAGGCCAACAGACCTCATTGTATCTGTGACATTTTTTGTCACCCAGGATTTCCATAAAAAAGGTGCCTTGCATAAAGCTTGACAGCTTTAAATGTGCGATATGAGGAATGCAGTTCCTTTAGACTGAAGGGGGATGTGAATGGCTCTGTTAAAACAACTTATTTTCATTGGGACAGTTTCATTTTCAGTCAATATTAACTCATAAGTCAGAATCTGGCTCTGTCCACGACGTCCACAGCCTGTGTGAAGAGAAATCTATTTTCTTGCTTTCCGACTGTAATTCCAGCTCTCTCTTCCTCACGTCCGTGGGCATGATTGCTCTGTTAAATCTCACATTGCAGCGATGTGATTGTGTTGTGATGTTTGGAGAGTGCAGCGCTGTTTCTGTGAAAAGATGTGTACTCTGTGCCCATTATGAAACCTCAGGGTACCCATTACCTTCCCCTCTCACTGAGGATTACATAGATCAGATGCTGGGAAAAAAAACACTACAGTGTTATTCATCTAATGCCCCTTTTTGCACCCCTTTTACTATCCCACTTTCTCTCCATTTTTCCTTCTCTCACCTCTCAGTTTTTCTCTTCCTCTCCCTCTCTCACGTCTCCCTCTCTCTTTGTGTTTTCAGGGCCAGTATTGTCCAGAAGAAAATCATCTATTTCCAGGAAGAGGGCTCTCTCACCATTCGGCTTTGTGAGAAAGGTAATGACAGCTGCCCGTCATCTCTACCTCTCCCTTGTCGGCTGCTCATCTTTTCATCCCCTACCACTCATCATGGTGCCATTATCCCTTGTTTTATCTGTCGTTTTTTTGTTTTTTCTCTCTCCCCCTTTCGGAGCAGAACAGCTCCCAGTCTTTTATACCGTGTTAAAAAAAATATAAAGCCAGCAGAGGCAGCAGGGAAAACTGTGAGGACAGTGATTTATAGATCTCATGGGAGTCTGCGTGGAATTTAAATATTCCTTTGTATGTCACCACAGAGCAGCGCCATAGCTTTTATGTTACCTGTCATTTCACTGCAGAGAAAAAATGGCGAGCCAGTTTTGGAAATCTGTCAGCACCCCAAACAAACACTAAACCCTTGTGAGACAGTGAGGAGACAGGACTCTCTTAGCTCTGATGCACACGTTTATTGTGCAATAAAAATCAGAGTCTGAACAAATGGTCTCTCAAACTTTATCTCAGGGGAATTTCACTTTCATGAAATCTTCCCGTCCTCAAGAAAATCTAATTTTCCAGGCTATTATGCAAGCCAATCAAGCCACACCGTTTCAATTTGCTGACATAAGTTAGGTGTCTTTGGTGTTTGACTCATCCCGCTATAACTTAGATGTCAAGTGAGGATTTCTTCCGAATAATTTGGCAAGTCATAAATATTCAAGTACTCCCCTTGACCTATCTTTGCAAAACATTGGTCCAGTGCAATATCTGAATATTTATGAATCTCTGTCAAGGCTAATGTGTTATTTAAATACCAGTTTATTCCATGGATGTAATTTTGTGACATTCTCCCTGTTCAAATTGTAGTCATTCATCTGGTAATTTATGCAGGTGTGCTTTTGTGTTAAAGCTTACACACCGACTTGTCTCTGTTTGTCTGTTAAATCCTCAGCTGTGTATATTTTATTTGGTTTGAGCATCTCCTCTCTAGCCTTGAAATCTTGACGTAGGGGAGTGTATGTGCATCACGTCCTGTCTCCCTGCAGAGCGTGTGTTTGGTGAAGCTACGGGAGCTCCTGCCTTGGAGTGCTGCGCCTGTGGAACAGCCAAGTACAGACTCACCTTCTACGGCAACTGGTCGGAGAAAGTGCATCCCAAAGACTATCCGAGTGAGTTGGATAGCACGCATGTACACCGTGCACATTAGAGAACGCACTGCAGATCTGCAGGAAAATTCATCATGACTCAAGCTTGTGTTTCTCCAGCGTGGTAGGGGGTTTTGGCTCTTGGGTGGAAAATTACTTAGAAAATGAGACAAAAAAGTATGAGAGAAATGGCACAAAAATTATGATGAGTGTGGATAAGATCAACACAGCTGCACAGCTTTAGAGTCAACTCACTGAAAACAGCTCTTGAAGAAATAGTTTGATATTTTGCTTATTTGCTTTCTTGTCGAGAGTTAGCTCAACCTCTTATTACTTTACTTTATTGATAAATATAACTTTTTTTTTTTTTTATCAATAAATAAATTACTACTACTGTCAGCTAGTGTTCATTTAAGCCACTCAAACTCTTCTTTTTTCTTTCTCCTGCTCCCGTCTTCCAGGACGAGCCAACCACTGGTCGGCTCTGATTGGTGCGTCCCACTCCAGAGGGTACGTGCTGTGGGAGTACGGAGGCTACGCCAGTGAGGGAGTCCGTCAGGTTGCTGAGTTCGGTTCCCCGATAAAGATGGAAGAAGAGATTCGACAGAAGGTAGAATTGACATCAGATGAGGGCTGTGTGGGTCTCTTGTCAGTCCATTTCTGATGTAACGGCACTATGTGTGTGTCTTTCCATTTGTTCTCTGACCCTCATGTTGGACCAAACCTATGTGCTAGTGCCAAGAAATGGGATCTGTACAAGAATATCCAAGAGTCCAAAAAAAAATCCAAGTTCACTCAAACTGCAACACTCGTCAGAGCGAATACAGTGGAGTGCAGATTCACGCTCGCATTTACAACATACTGTGAGGTTAATGACGGGCTGAGGCAACAACAATCTGAAATGACACACACTAAACTAATTTTCCTCTGTCAAAATGGCGGCTGATGAATGTGCAATACAGTGAAATCCCCATTTCCACATCAGACAAAGCATTTACATAGCAACACTGCGCTCACCATCTCATTATGCTGGACTCTGCGTGAATTCAGATTCCTGTGGAAAACATCAGCGCACTTCTGTTGAGTGAACTACGCCTTTAGGGGATCAGATATTTTTGGAAGGCATCCATTGGACAGTACCCCAAGAGGACAGGCCGTTGCGTAAGAATGTGTTGTGTGTGTGTGTGTTTGTGTGAATTGAAACATAGCACAGACAGGGAGGAGAGCATGACTGGACACAGCTGAGAGGTGTGCTCGAGCATACTTGTGTGTGCATGTGTTTGTAGGTGAGTCAAATGCTTGCATGGCTATTTTAACCGGAAACCCGTATCGGGCTGGGTAATGTGAAATGGGAAAGAAATTGGCCGACTGTTCTATGTGTTCTGTGTATCCCTTTAAATGGCAACTTTATACTGCTTCAGCTTGAACGAACCTCCTTTACCTTCACCCTACGCCCACTTACCTTTCCACCCCCTCACAACTAAGTTTAAACAAATGAAAATTAACATATGATTCTTTTCAATTAATTCAAACACAACCTACGTTGCCTTGCTCTGAAATACATTGCACTATAGAATCAACGTTACTCTGTTCATTCGTGGTGCCTCTACTGCCTCACTTGAGGAACTAGCTAACATTTTACAAGAAAGAGAATTTCAGGGTCACAGTGTGAAAAGATATAAGATTTTATCCATATGGACCAGCCCTAATCTACATGATGCATATATGTCGCTCATGAGTGCTGGTTCGACTCGGGCCTCCAGAATACAGCTGTCTCTGTGCATCCTCTTTCTGCCACTCTCTCTCTCTCTCTCTCTCTCTCTCTCTGTGGGTAAAGTAAACTTTGTCCTGGCCATTTGCGGGGGAACAATAGTGTGTTGTTAGTGGGCTGTCAGTGTGGTGTGTGCCTGTCAGTTTAGGTTTGGGCTGTTGTGTGGAGACATTAGAGGCTGACGGACAGCCCTAACTCCTCTCTTGGCTGGCTCTGTCTGTCTCTGGGGCTAATAACTACCCTGACACAATGGAAACTTCAGCCCGTTTCATAGTGGAATGAGATGGCTTGATTGTGTACTGTAGACTGGAATGTTAGCTATTGAGCTGTAGAATGAAACAGCTTGATTGTACACTGTACACTGGAATGTCAGCTATTGAGTTTTTCTTGGACTTTGTAACAGGGAGTCTTCAAACTTTTTCTAATCCATGAATCAAAAAACTTTTGGTGGCCTGCACGGTGTCCCAACCATTAAATGAAAACTACGATTTTCACCTAAAATTGTAGTAGGCTGTATTTTCAATTTGAGGGGCAGTATCGACCCACAAGTACAAAAACAAGTAATATAAAATCATATCTACTAAAATAAATATAAAAATCCATTGTAACACATTACACATACTAATAATGGTTCAGAGTCTTCAACAGATTTACCAGTTACCCAAGAGAATAGGCAAGAATCAATGTGTGAGTAAAATAAGTTATTTTTTGATTAATTGATTAATTGTTTGTAGTCTTCATAGTCCAAGAAATGTCTAAAAATATTGTAGAATTGTAGTTATGTCAGACCAACAGTACAAAATGTTAAATGATATAAATCAGCACATCGTCAGCAAATTATCCCATCTTAGAAGCTGGAACAGGCAATTTTTTAAGAAATTGACTTAAACAATTAATTTTTTTATTAAAACTGATCAACCTACGAATAGTTTTTGCCCTCGAGGACATTCATTGAAATTACTAAACTTTCCTGTGTTGCCCTGATGTGCTGTAATCACTGAACTGATAGAAAAAGTGTGAAAATCAGCCAGCAATTTCCTTTTTTTAAATATAATAGTGTAACAACTATTGTGCATTGTGCAAGGATTGATACCATTCTCACATCTGTGCGTGACATATGAAGCTACAGGTGGTTAGCTTAGCTTATTATAGAGACTGGAAATGCAATGGAAATGCTCTGTCCAAACATAACAAAATCTGCCCAAAAACATCTCTAAAACTCACTAACTAACAAGTTATAGCTCAAAACCAAAGTGTAAAAATGACAGTTTGTGGTTCTCTAGGGATGCAAAATGTTATGTGTGAGTTATAAAGCAAATGAGCGTAAGCAATAAAGTAGTGAAGTATTCCACAGGGAAGCAGATTACAGACAGAGGAGTAAATAGTGGACTACAGCTGGAAAAGTTCTCATTCTTTAGTCTCATGAGAACTTTGAATTTATGTTAAATACTGCAGTTGACAGTCTGACTCCGACACTCTGCCAGATGGGCTGTGAGAGTCAAGTCATCTTCATATCATCATCAGCAGCCAGTCACATAAATGGATCCAAGCTAAGTGTATTCATCAGCACACTGGAGTGACTGATGACACTATATTTTCCTTCAGGTTCATTTCAGTTTTTGTGAGTCCTCATGCACATAAACACACTCCACCTTGTAGATAAAACAGTTTCTGTAGTTGTTGAAAAATATATATATATATATGTTTTTTTTTCCCAAGGTTTTAGATACAAACTAAAGCACACACATACACACACACGCTGTTTTCAATTCTGTGGGGCATCTAAGTTCAGACTGGGTGAACATCGAAGTGGCGGCTGTAAAGGTGGGAAGCCGACATGGGTCAGTAATCCCTGTCTTAGCTGAGAATCCCAACCATCCAGAGGAGCAATCAGCTGTGGTGATGTGTGGACAAAGACTTAAGACCAACCTCTCCAGCCCAGTGCCGACCCACGCTCCCCTAACTAACGCACACAAGACGGGCAGACAGAGACGCAGACAGACAGGCAGGGAAGATGAGACCGGAGAGCTCTAGCTGTGATGATTTGAGTACAAGCCAGAACATCTCTGTCAGAACTTGTGCACTGCAGGAAGACATCATGTTGTTCAGAAAGTCATGAGGCAGCATTTAATAACCAGTCAGAAATTACAGACGTGTTTGTTCTGCAAGCAAATATTTAGAATAGATGTTGACACAACAGCCTGCTCTGTCTTACTAGTGTAAACTTTCTAAATCAAAGTTGAGAATTGCTTCTGCATAGATTACACAATCATGACCTAAATTTAATCTCTCTCCTGCTTGTTTGTTGAAGTTGACCTTGGCCATCATTGGCCCTCCATCAGATGCTCCCTGCTAAGCATGTGAGCACAAAGACTCACTGGACAGGACCTGACATGCATGAGGCTGTGGAAAATATGTGTGATAAAGCTCATTTTGAAAAGCTTCAGGCACATATAAGCTCACACCGCAGCACCAACAACACATTGCTGCACACCAGCTGAGAGTCCTAGCTACTTTCTCAAAATGGGTCTCCCTAAATGCGGGCACCGCTGACTTAACAGCATTCAGCTACAGGTTAAAACGTGCCAAGGTCCTAAAACAATTTTGTCACTTCACTGAAGCTGTCAGACTAAGGTACGCATCCTTTGTAGACAAACAGAGCTGCATGGTGGGAAAATATTCACTCGACTTAACACCAACAAAGTTCTGTATTTTTATCCTAAATCTGTCTCACTTTTTTGCATGACACTACATACCTGCATACAAGTGTTTCAAGGCGGATTTTGCATTTCCTCTTCCCTGCACAGAACTAGTTGTAAATTGCTTTTTTAAACTGTACACTACTATGTACACGTCAGTGATAACAGTGATCATTAGCATTATGAAAGTCTCAGGTTATGAGCAAGTTTTATTGTCAAAAATTTCACCCAAGATTTAAGAGTGCTTAAGACGAGCACAATTTTTGAAAATCAGCAGAGGAACAGATGACAGATGTCGTAGTATTTGGGGACCTAAAAAAACTTTTAAAGCAAAAGCTCAAGCACATCCCAAAATGGGAAGATAGACATGTTTAAAATTTATGAGAAATTAATATAAAAAACATATATAAGCTTATAGAATTTTTATGTTTTTTTTTTAAAGTAAACTTGCATATATGAATTAAAAACATGTTTGCAACATGTTATACCAAATGAAAATTAATCATAGATATTTTTTTATACGTGTACATATACAAACTACTACTACTTACTATTCTACTATATTATATATTTCAGATATGTTATAAACTTATATCTTCATATATCCAGAGGACGTATATATGTGATAATAATATATCCCCTTACAGGTGACATATATGGCAACATCCCTCGATATAGGGACGAATATGTCTACATGTATATGTATATATGTATGAATGGGTTTTAGCTGCTTCCCCCTGTGTCTAATCTCTAAACTAAGCTAAACTAAGCTAAGCTAAGCTAACCAGACAGCGGTTCTGGCTCCATATTTAGCCTACGGTCATGAGAATGGTATCAAATTTCTCATCTAACTTCTCATCTGAAAAAGAAAACGCGCCAGAAGGTTACAACTTCTGTGATTTCTAAATTTTTAATATACACACCACACACACAATCCTTGTAGTCTTCATTAAGTGAGTAAAAGCTGAGTGATTTTGAACTGGAGGTACTGCTGTCAGTAGGGTAAGACACATAAGAACTAAAAGCATCCTTTTAATGTCACTGCTCTCATACTCCAGAAACAAAATTACACGGCACATCTAATTAGTGATTGCTTTGAAATGTCACAAGCAGCTGAGAGTGTGTAACGATCACACAAAT